ATCCCATGGCTATTTTTAAAAGTTCACAATTCACACTTAAATGCAATTGGACGCCTAGAATGATGTGCTCATGACATGAGACGCTTCATACTCTTGTATCTTTGCACCAGATCCATCCAGCCATCCAGCGTTAAAAACACCACATATAAACCCTTCAGTGTATTTGCTATAGTTCCCTTCGGTTCCTTTGCTGCTAGTTCCCCCAATAGAAGATTCTGGCATATCAAATAAGTCAAAAACAAAATATTATTATTAAAAAATTAAGAAATTATGCTAGGTAGTATCTGATAAACTAGTTACGAGTGTTGAACAGAAACAATAGACTACAAAGCCAACATGAAACGAGTCTCTGGCTTTTGACCTTTAGATTTCTTAATGAGAGAACTTCATCAGTGGAAAAATCAAAAGACAAATCTATTCAGAGATAGAGAATGCTCATCCAGACTACGAATCAGAAGCTCCCCAATTTGAATTGGGTTCTGTGCAGCAAAAAACATTACAGCTTGATTATCAATTTAATGGAGCTCAAATCAACACAAAGTGATTACCATCACTCTATGATGAAAAGAAGATTACTGAAGTCTTAACCAAATAAATGATGTTCCTCAAATTATTCGAAATGAAAAGAAGTGATTACCATCACTCTATGAAAGTATGAAGTATAAACTATTGATATCATTTTTCATTGAAGCATTTCAGCAAACACTAGCAGATATAACATAAAATTAGTATATAGCAAACTGGAACTTGAAACAACTTCATACTAAAAGGACTAGTTTAACATCCTACAATGGTGTTCCTCAAATTAATTGAAATGAAAAGAAGTGATTACGGATTATCATCAATATATGAAAGTACTCAGTATAAACTATTGATATCATTTTCCATTGAAGCATTTCAGCAAATACTTTGCAAATATAACATAAAATTGACACTATAGCAAACTGGAACTTAAAATAACTTCCTACTGAAAGGATACTTTATTAGCTAATAGTAGATGCTTAAGGAATCAAAATAAAGACACATCCTTATCTCGTATTTTTTCAAGCAAATACACAAATTTTCAGTAAATAGAGTTATGGCCCAAACAAAAAATATTAAAAGCAAATACCGAGGCTTGGTTGTTCTGGCATCTATCTTTGATGGATTTAGACTTAACCTACGTCCTTGAGATGGTTTTCCAAATATTGGACATTATACGTATCCGCGAAGCATATCTTCGACACGTGTTTCAGATATGATGAACATGTTCCTAGCTATTTCAGTCACTCACTGGTAGCTCTAATCAAAATAAAAAAGTTGGATTAAAGTGAAAATGAAGCAACTGATCTGAACTCCGAAGAGAACCATAGAAAACGGGGAAGAAGGAGTTCTGGAGACAGAGAGAAGCCTTAAAATGGCCGTAGTCTATTGTTTCTCTACACCTAGACAGTATGGGCTACACAAAAATTGTCAGGGAACCTCAAGTTGTGCAATATAGTGGTATCTGAAAATGCATCATATTTTCATAGCTTCGCTTTAAATCCTGACTAATTGAGTAGTACATGAAAGAGGTAACAAATTACGAAGTATAACTACAACGACATCCAAACCTTAGTCCCGAAATATGAAGTATAGCTAAAACTACAAAATCATATTAATTTCAATCTAATCCAAATAACTAAAACCTCATCCAGAAGTACCATTCAAAATATTATTTCAAAGTCTGAACGCAGATCCATTTGCGCTTAATCAAGTACATTAACACCAATTACCATTAAAGCATTTCATCGAACAAGTTGCAAGCATAATCTAAGTTCACAAACTAACAAACAAGTTACAGGCAAAACATGAACTCAATATCTATTTTGACAAAGAGTCAGCACACATAGTATAAGTACACGTATCAAAATTACTTTACACAATTCTTACATGATCAATAAGGCAAAAATCATTAAAAAATAATTGTAGAAAGTGAAGTTCATGTTTTAGTTAGCGGGAAACAAATCTTGTTATCCTTTACACTAATATTACTTAATTTTATTGTTGATGATGAAATACCTGAAAATCTGGAATCCAGCCGATCTAGTTGAGATGAAAACTGCGATTTCGGAAAGAAAAACACGGTCGAATTCATCCGTATCTGATTTTGAGGATGATTATCAATAGAGTGATTAGGAAGAACGTAACAAATAAAATTGTGTACTACATAGAAGATTAATGGAGATGTAAATGAAGAAGAGGATTAGAGAGATTAGGGAAGAAGTCTGTTCCTCCATGGAATTGCCGCCATGAAATTGATCTGAAGAAGGTCGAATAGGAATTGAGGATCATTGAAAGAAGAGACCAAATGTAAGGATCATTTAAAGAAGGATTTTATTTCGTAGATATAAAAGGCATAAATTAGTGTAATTTACGAAGTTGCCATTAATGAAGAACGGAAGTTTTAGTGTATCGCATGGTCCAGATGCCTTGATCAGACGGTTCAAAATACTTCTCATTTTTCGGTTTAGTATACACTTCTCATGTGATCTTTTCTCTCTCTATATATATATATGTATATATATGTGTGTATATCTATATATATATATGTAAATGTGTATATATATATGTAGGGGTGAGATCACATACAAACCATTCTTAACTTACTAACCTACAAACTCAATAATATGCAACTCTTTGAACTTCAATATGCAGTACAAATAATGTAAAGATGCACTTTTTGAATTTGAATATGCAATACAAATAATGTAAATATGAAATTGTTATTTTATGGCTTGAATAATGTGAAACACTTTGAACTTCTATGTGCAATACAAATAATGTAAAGAAGATTTGAATGAGAGGACTAGTTTGTATGCGATCACACTCCTGCATCTTTACATTATTTTAACTGCATATTGAAGTTCAAAGTGGTGCATATTACTGAGTTTGTAGGTTAGTATTTTAAGCATGGTTTGTATTCAAAGTGTGTATAATATATATATATATATATATATATATATATATATATATATATATATATATAATGCTTAACTTACTAACCTACAAACTCAATAATATGCAACACTTTGAACTTCAATATGCAGTACAAATAATGTAAAGATGCACTCTTTGAATTTCAATATGCAATACAAATAATGTAAATATGAAACTGCTATTTTATGGCTTGAATAATATGAAACACTTTGAACTTCAATGTGGAATACAAATAGTGTAAAGATGATTTGAATGTGAGGACTAGTTTGTATGTGATCCCACCCTTGCACCTTTACATTATTTTTATTGCATATTGAAGTTCAAAGTGATGCATATTATTGAGTTTATAGGTTAGTATTTTAAGCATGGTTTGTATTTGATCTCTCTCTCATACACACACACACACACACACACACACACACACACACACACACACACACACACATCTTTAGGTCTGGAATTCCGGACAGGAACCTGCCGTCCGGACGGCAGCGTTTCGGCCTCTTCCCGGTGGAAGTTTTTGATGAAAGTTTTATGGTATGTTCTTCATCAAGTCTAGTTTATACAGGCAAACTTTCAGCTAAAAATTCAATCGAGAAGGCCGTCAAATGATTTTTGGAAGTTAACTGCGTTTTATATGTATATTTTGGGCGCAGTTATCTTCCAAAAATCATTTGACAACCTTCCCGATTGAATTTTTAGCTGAATATTTTTGTGGATGAACTAGACTTAATGAAGAACATGTCATAAACATTTCATCAAAAAATTCCACCGAGACGGTCCCCAAAAACCGTCGTCCGGACGGCGGTTCCGACCGGAAGAGTAATATATATATACATATATATAATCACAAAATTAATGTAACCTAAAACAGTGTAAAATTAAAATAAAATCAGAGAATAAAAAATACGAAAATTTTAAATAGTGAACTTTAAAAAAATAAAAGGTCAAACACAATCTTTTAAGTTTTCATGAGATGTCTTATGTTTGAATGTGTTAGTGGATGATTAGGTAGCAATACTGGCGAGAGCAAACACAAGGAAATAAAGATGTGCACCTAATTTTATTAAGTTGACATGAACAATTACGGCACATCATAACTGAGTCCGAAATCCGATCTTCTAATTCTAAGCTGAGAGCTTACTGAAAAAATACGTAGAGAGGTTAAATGCAAGTATCTATATTACAAGATAGTAGATGGAGGCAACATGGCAAGTCGGCAAGTCCTGAGTGGCTAACCCCATCCATAAAATCTCTGATTCATTAAATGCGCTTTCCGCCAATTATAAGTTTCTCTGCCAATTAGATGATTCGTTTCTTTTCAGGCAGGACATGCCGAGCAGCATAGTGTGTAACCGGCAGAGCCAGACCACATTTTAAAGTGGGCACGAAGCCTTTTGCGTTGATTGGGCTGTAAGGGGTATTTGGGTCTGCCTTTTATTGGCCTTGATACTCAACAACATATATATTATATATATGTATATTTTACTTTTAGTAAATATTGACCGAGATTATAGCCGTTGACCAGGCTGACCCTCCGAATTCGGATTGACCCTTGACCCGATAACATTTTGGATCACCTCCTGATCCGGTTTTGACAACATAGGTTAAGGCTTTCATAAAAAACGTACTCTATATTTAAAATAGGGAAAACATGAAAAAGTTACATGTGGTTGAGCCAGTTTTCAGATAGGGTCATATGTTTCATTTTTTTAACAAAATTGATCTGTGTTTAAACTCCGTTATCACAAGAGGGTCCTGATGCTGTAAAAAGTCGCCGAAAGAAGATAATGAACAATAACTATGGTTTTCAAAAGTGCCCGAACAATTTTTAAAAATCACTTTTGAAAATCGGAGTTAGTGTTCGTCCGCTTCCTCCTGCGATTTCTAACGTCGTTAGGCACCAAAACTCACTCATATATTTGATGAGAGGGACAATATTGTACTTTAATAAAAAGACTAATTAAAGATCATTTTTTATCAAACAATCCAACTTTTCCCTTTTAAATAAAATAAAATCACTTGTATATAGAAACCACCACCAAACACAGACTCTCTCTTGAGAGAGGAGATGAATTGTGGACAAAGAACGTGGGATCCAACTGGGTGTGGCATTTGGGTTTTAGTCAACCACTACAGACCATCTCATCTATACCAAACAACAGTGATGGCATCCACTCGAGACACTAGGCCACCACCACTCTCCCACCCACCCTAAACCTAACCTACTTTCCTCCTCCTCCTCCTCCTCCACCATCTACTTCCTTCCTGCTCGATCCATATAACCCACAAACTCTTCCCTTATTATCCGGAGTTCCGGAGGAGGAGGAAGATACTATTCATTCTTTCCGCTTACCGCACGCCTCCCGCCTGTTTATCTCCGGCGGGGGACCGCTTGTATTCATCGAGGGCGGTTCCTTATTTCTAACGTGGTTCGCCTGACCGTGATCACTGCTACTTCAACTCCCTTCACCCAGAGACAGCAGTTTGGGTTATGTCGTCCACCACTGACGCAGCAGCTGAAGCCGCAATCGACGTTTTGGCGGTAATGGAAGAGAAGCCTTGCCGGAAATTCCCCGCGCCCTGTTGGACGCAAGAGGAGACCTTAGCCCTGATCGAGGCGTACAGGGAGAGGTGGTACGCGCTCCGACGCGGATACCTCCGTACGGCGGACTGGGACTCGGTGGCGGAGGCGGTGTTCAACCGCTGTCCAGATGCGTCTCCGGCGAAGACTTCCGCTCAGTGCCGGCACAAAATGGAGAAGCTCCGGCAGCGTTACCGTGCCGAGAAGCAGCGTTCCCTCTCATACCCTGCCGGGAGCTTCTTCTCCAATTGGTTCTTCTTCGAGAATATGGATGCCATGGAAAACGGAACTCAGGTTTCAGCTGCTGCTAGATCCAACCCAGATCAGGACGAACACCACATGGCTCAGGGCTTCGGTTTAAAAACCTTGATCGATCAGAACTTGGTGAAACTAAAGCTCAACAATCCGATGGAGGATTCAAACCCGAATAATTATGCCTCTCGAGTCCCAAATGGTTACGGGTCGCATTTGGATGTTGCAAGCAGCAAGAAGCAGCATGTTGAAGCTGCTGCTGCTCTTCCTTTAGAAAAGGCATTCCCCATCAAAACCCGAGTCAATGCGATTCCACTCCCTGTTGGATTCAAACCAAAGAGAAGCGATTTCAATAATTGTGAGATGAAGAATGGTTTTGATAGAGGAGGAGGAGGGCGTCATCTGAATTTGACAGAGTATGAGGACAGAATTGATCCAAGTGAGGAATATCTGATGAGGTTGTTGGAACAAAGAAATTCAGGCCATGTTAGTAGGGGAAATTTGAGGTTTCAGAGATCAGCAGCGGGCACAGGCGGGGGAGTGAAACGGGAGAGGGAATCGAGGAGCAATAGTGATCAGATAGCTTCATCGATCCGGTTCTTGGCGGAAGGATTCATCAAGATAGAGAACATGAAAATGGAGATGGCAAAGGAGATGGAGCGGATGAGGATGGAAAGAGAGATGAAGCAGAGTGAGATGATACTTGAATCCCAGAAGCAGATGCTGGATGTTTTTGGGAAGGTGTTGCATGAGATTAACAACAACAAAAAAGCCAGGACGTCATCCCCTCCCCCTCGTGGAGAAGAATCATAGATGCCTTTATGAATCTTAGTAACTAGCCAACTGGTATTTTTAGTAACAACTTATTACAGAGGGAGGGAGTATATGAATGAATGAATTGAGTTTTAGGTGTGCGTATCATGAGTTTAGTAGCCATGACAGCCCCCTGGGCATGTAACATATAGTATAAAGATGGTTGTTTTGTTTATTTGTGTGGTGATTCCCAGCAGCAACAGCAGCAGGCTCATTCGTTGTGTGCTCGAGCTTTCTTTGGATTTGATTTCTTTGTGTATATATTGCACGCATCTTGAATATTCTATGATTTCTATCTCATCTTTCAACTGTTGTTAATGTCTGTGTATTGGGGAGTTGGTTGGTCATCCCATTCCCAACTGAGGACCACGCCACACCACCTTGTGATAGTGTGATACCAACCAATGGAAGATCAACTCTGCATCTTACTCTACCTAAGTTTCCCAAATCTTTTCTTCCCAACAACAAAAGCATAATTTTTTTAAGAACCATTTCTTCTGCATTTTTTATAATAAGAATAATTTGATAGTCGGCACCATCAAGTTTTGACACCAACAAAAGTTCCACAAGTCATCCTGAACAACTTCTCACCGGTTAACTCAAGGAGATATATTTAATTGTTCTATGGAAAGCAATTGTCAGTACCTGGTCGTTCACTAAAACAGTTGTATCAATGATGAGATTGAAATAAAAAATGTCCATAAACGAACGATCCAAACAAGCAGAAAAAAAAGATTCAATTAGCTGCATGTTCTTTGAATCATTGGATCCAACACTTGTGTGCCACCACCCCTATTGAATGTATGAATCTCTCACAAATTCAGCCCTTCATAGAAGAGAGCAAATTGGAAAACATGTAACAATTACTAAACGAATCCTACCCGGTAGTTGCTTATGAATAACAAATATCTACACATTGAAACCCATATATGCAAAGGCACACTCTCATACCTCTAAAACAAGGGATTCCTATTTACGTCTTTATACAACAAGTAACGTGTGCGAGTCTTTCCGAGAGCTGCATACCTGCAAAAAACAATGGAGCAAAGTAGTATGGGCATGGGGTCACATGGATTGGGTTGATGGTAAATTGAAAGTAAACCTTCATCCAGTTCAGATATATCTGTTTGTTTAAACACTTGTAAATCAACCCAAATTAACACTACATTTTATTGCTTGGAGGTGTATGGGCATGGAGTTGGCAACATATTGAAGGAGGGTATGTCTACCAGCCATAGATAAGAGATGATTCTTCCAAAGCATGATTTTAGATCATGTTGCTGACGGGTACTCAAGCAAGTGATTGGTGTGGTGCGAGATTAAAACTTGCAATATTCTTGACAGTGTCACTATTGGCCTTATCGTGAAGGATGAAGGAACTCTTTTACTTGTTTATACCAGGACAAAGACTTCTTCTATGTTTCAACCACCAAGTCTATAATCCTCCTTATTGAGTTTCTTTATCATCAGCAAAGATAATTATATTATCAGCAGACCAAGGTGAAATGTGTTCACAAGACCACACAATCAGTCATTCATTAAGTAATTAAAAAAAAATCTTCTGGAAACAGAGTGATATAGAGTAACGGCCTAACGGGTAAAATGGTAGAAGTGACTCTAAGGACTTGCTTGGTTTGCGGATCTCGGAAGGAAGAGAAGGGACTGATTGACCTTTACTTTATTAATATATCTTTATTTATTAGTTCTAAACAAGAAATAAGCATATGATTATGTATTTCTATATTTTTCTGCTTGTTTAACTGAATAGGTTTCATCTAACGCTTGTGAATTCAACAACTTCAACCAAATAACCCGCTTACCAAAGAGGCAAATTTGGGGGAGTAAGGGGGTTGCCAGGCCTGCTTCACACCCCACCCCAGTTTGATCATATTTATTTTTTTACCATGAAAGCTTATATGAATGCATGGTTATTTTCAATTACCACTTCAACCTGCCCACACAGGTTGTCGAATTTAGGGGAGTGATTGATCCAGACCTAAATGTTGAACACCCAGTTGGACATCATAAATATTTATTTAAAAATTTTTAAACAAATCATATCACACTTACCACTGGGGAACAAACGGCGCCATCCAGATGGCATCACCGGCTTCGACAGGATACCTGTCATCGTCAGCCAAATGCAAAGACTGTATCATCAGAACAATAAACTACATTACAAGTTCTCCTGAGGTCTAAAATATTACACTCCTTATTAATTAAAACTAATAGGGGTATATTAAAAAACTAGCTTGTTTATCCTAGCTTGTTTGGATGGCTTGCCTAATATTAGATATACTCTAAATAGACTATTTGTAATAGTTTTAACTATAGTTAGAGTCTCGGTTATAAGTCAGTTGAGTTTGTTATGACTTAAGCCAACTCTATAAATACTTGTACTGCTGCTTCATATCTGAATAATAAGATTTCACTCTTTACCTCTTATCTCTCTTCTATTTTTCTATCATGGTATCAGAGCTTTAGCTCGATCCATTAATGGCGATCTCCGATGACTCTTCTCACTCCTCGAGTGGAAACTCTGGCAATCCTACCTCTCCTGTTATTTTCACACATCCTCTTCCAGTTAAACTCGACAAAAACAATTTCTTATTCTGGAAACATCATGTTGAGTCTGTGGTTCGTGCGCATAAGCTTCTTCGTTTCATTGTAAAACCGATCATTCCGAAGCAATTCAATACTGATGCTGATGAAGCAGCTGGTAATGTTAACGAAGCTTATGTTGTTTGGGAGCAACAGGATCAGATGTTGTTCTCCTGGTTATTGGCTTCGCTTTCTGAGTCTCTACACACTCGTGTGATTCATTGCAGGCATTCGCACCAGCTGTGGAGTGAGATTATTGTTTTCTTCAAGTCGCAGATTCTCGCAAAGTCTAGACAACTCAAATCTGAGTTGTATAATACTTCTAAAGGTGATCGCTCGATCTCTGAGTATCTTCTGCGTGTTCAGACAATAGCTGATAACCTTATGTCGAACGGAGAGCCTATTTCTGTTAAGGATCATATTAATGTCATACTTGAAGGTTTACCTGAGGAATACGAGTCACTAGCCTCTTCTATTTCATCACGAAGTATCCTTGATCCACCTACTTTGTCCGAAGTTGAAGCTCTTCTAGCTGCCAAGGAGTTGCATCTGAAGAAGCTCAATGAATCCTCACAATCCACTATATTTTCTGCCAATGTAGCTCGTCTACAACCAGATCCTGTAAACACAAATCATGAACCTGAATCTCCTTCAGGTGTAGAACACACCTACTTCTGCTCATGTTGCTCAGTTTCACACTTCAAATAGCAATGATTCCTACAGAGGTAGAGACCGTGGAGGTCCTATGAGAGGCCGAGGAGGTAGATTTGGTGGTCGTAGTTCAGTGATATGTCAAGTATGTGGCAAATCTGGTCATCATGCATTAATCTGCTACCATAGATTTAATCCTTCGTATTCTGCTATACCTGCTTCTACAAATTCTCATCCCTATTCTTCAACTCCAACAACCTATCCTCACACTTCTCAGCCCTATCATTCAACCCCAACAGTTTACACTCCAAATCCTCCTAACACCTCAAATTCTAATCCACATATCTTCAACTGGCCTCATCAATCCTACAGTCCTGTACCACTGCAAATCTACAATCCTAATACACAACAATCAGTCTCTCAGAATACCTACAACCCATCTCCCACTACTGCCTGGGCATCTGCAACTCCTTCCATTCTAGGACCACCTCCACAACCTCAAACTTGGTTCCCAGATTCTGGTGCCACTCATCATGTGACTGCTGATCCATTGAACCTGCAACATAGTGAACCTCTTGTTACAACTGATAAGCTTTTTATGGGAAATGGTCAAGGTTTGGAGATTAAGTCCATTGGTTTTACTTCTTTTCCCTCACCTTATCAGTCTTCTTTAGCCTTGTCACTTAATAACATTTTGCATGTTCCATCCATTACTAAAAACCTTTTAAGTGTCAGTCAATTTGCTAAGGATAATCATGCATTTTTTTAGTTTTATCCTTATGAATGCTTTGTTAAATCTCAGGCTTCTAAACAGATTCTGTTGCATGGTATCCTTGCAGAGGATGGTTTATACAGATTTCAGTCTGTTCCAGCTCTTGGTTTCCATCAAAATAACTCAACAACCAGCTCTTCTTCTGTGTCACCATCTTCTTCCAGTTTCAGTCCTTCTAGCACTTTTCTATCTACTTGTAATAATTCTAAGTCTTGTAATTCTTCTGAACTATGTCATTTGGCATTTGAGATTAGGCCATCCTCATTATGAGGCATTGAAATATGTACTGCAACTATGTAATGTCTCTTCAATCAATAAAAATGTTGTTCAATTTTGTTCTGCTTGCTGTCTAGGGAAAGCACATGGATTACCATCATCTAGCTTTACAACTTTCTATCACAAACCATTTGAACTCATTTTTACAGACCTATGGGGACCAGCCCCATTCTTATCATTTGATGGTTACTCTTTGTTGATTTAGGAAGAGAAGCCTTCTTGTATTTCTCATATACAATCATACATTATGACTCCCATATTTATAGGGAATAGGGAAGTAAATGATACATTAAAGGACAAAAGAAAACTGAAAGTCATAAAGGAAAATGAAAAGTTAAGCTGCTGGAAAGTCTGGAATATAAAAAGGCATATGCTTTAAATGCTATTTCCAACACTCCCCCTCAAGCTGGAGCATATATATCATGGGCTCCAAGCTTGCTACATATATAATCTATTCTTGGTCTTCTAAGAGGCTTAGTGAGCACATCTGCCAATTGATCCTTTGAATTCACAAAGTGGTGATGATGTCTCCAGATTTGATCTTGTCTCTAACGAAATGACAGTCCACTTCTATATGTTTGGTTCTTTCATGAAAAACTGGATTCGTTGCAATGTGTAGGGCTGCTTGGTTATCACATATCAACCTCATGGGTCTGAATTTGCAGAAATTGAGTTCGGAAAGAAGATTCTTAACCCAAATTAGCTCACATGATCCAAAAGCCATCGCACGATATTCGGCTTCTGCACTTGATCGTGCCACCACATCTTGTTTCTTACTCTTCCAAGAGATCAAGTTTCCACCCAAAAGTATACAATAACCTGTGGTGGATCTTCGATCCCATGGGCAGCCAGCCCAATCTGCATCAGTATAGCCCACAATTTCTGTGTGTCCGTGATTCTGGTATAACAACCCTGTACCTGGTGCTTGTTTAATGTATCTTAAGATGCGAGTAACAGCATTCCAGTGGCTCTCACACGGTGATTGTAAAAACTGACTTGCGACACTTACAGCAAATGA